ACGAAAAGAAACGGTACTTCCATACCAATTATTTTTGTAAATTAGGAAAGAAACTGCGACAGAAGTGAAGATTGTTTTATTTCCTTCACCTATGTGCTATTCGCAAAACACCAAAAATATATGTGATGATAGTACCGTTGTTTTTCGTTTATGTTTCCTGCCGTTTCATGCATGTACTTTGTTGCTCGGTGGTTCGGCGTTCGCTTACCATAGGGTCAGTCAAATACCCATGTAAGGATTGGTGGAGAAGGTAGTTCAACTATGATCAATCGCCACCTCCAGTACTACAGGGCATAGTATGGTGCAGAAGGAGCTATTCCTGTTAATGGGATCTGGCATTAACAGTATTACAGATGGTATTATTATTTTTTAGGATATTAAACGTGTACAAATAATACACCAAACGAGTGTCGTCTTATAATAAAATAATTTAATTTTAGTTTTATAATCATCTTCTTTAATAAGCCAGAAATTAACATCGCCAGCACTTACATCCTCTGTAAGCTTAGACTCGAATGGCGATAACGTGAACCATTGAATAAGACGACATTGTAAGCTACTATTACTTAATGATATTAGAAAAGACGAAAGCAGTCATGAGGGGAAGAAGTAGCTATGAGACACCAGATTAGCCAATAGGAGTTTCAAAAATACTGACAGCCGGTGCCAATAACTTACGGTTTCTAAATGTGACGCGGAATAATTGACATACCAAATTTATGTAGGGTTCAATAAAGAATCCATTTTCTGAGCTTCTCATTTTTAAAATATCAGCCAAAATGAATCCCAAGCTTTCTCAATAAAGCACTAACATATGATTACTTAATTGTATTTTATTTTTAAAATGGTATTCATCAAATGGCAAATCCTTCTGTGGTTGTTTCTGCGATTCGCGCTTCTAGGTGATTATAATATGCTTTGAAGACACTGAATTGGTTCATAAGCTATTACAATATCCATTTATTGGTTACGGTGAGAATCGTCGAGAAAGAACGGTTAAAACTTATGACTCTGCTCTTTATATATGACGTTCATTTGCAGTATGCACTGCTGAAGCTGATCCTACAATAAAATATAAAAAAATAATGAACACAATATGTAGGTTTATACATTAATATTAGGCAAACCTGTTTTACACTTGTCGAGTCGGTCAAAAAGTTAAAAGGAAACTGTATGATATCATCCGTACAAATTTGCCATTTGAGGTTATTCATTGATGCGACAATACTTGACGCTGCAATTATGCTTGCCGCATACTTGGAAAATCTATATTCTGCGAATTATATAATCATTTAAAATGGAAGCATAATATATGTTTATTATTTTCACATATTTCACTATTATTATTCTCAAAATTAAATAGTGTTTACGACGATGTGATAACAGGCAAAAGCATACAAATATACACAGATCGTAAATATGCCTGCTATGCATTGAACGAATAGCGTGTAAAATAAAAAGATAAGGTGAGGACACCATAAATAGGCAGATGAACTATGAACCTAAGCCTCTGATAAGAATATGTAAGAGATGAACGCGGAACCTTATCCTAGACTAATCAATAGCCTAACGCGGTCTTATAAAATCCGCAAAAGGTACACTATATATAAGGAATGGAAATCTGCATGAGTCTAGGTGTAACAAGTAAGAAAGCTCTAGTTGACACTGCTCGACTAGGAGATCCTCCGAGCTCTTTGAGGAACTGATATTTCTTCGTGTCTCATACTCACAGACACATATAGGCACACACGGCGACTTTCGATACGATTTTTAATCGATAAAAAAAATAACGGAATGTATAATCGATGTTTGAAGATGATTTTGACATCCGCGCTATATATACGAACTTTTTACAATAAATTTCAAGCCTCTAGCTCTTATATCTTCTGAGATCGGCGCGTTCAAATATACGGACAGACAGACAGACGCACAGGGATAAATCGACTCAGCTCGTCGACCTGATTAAGAATATATATACTTTGTGGGGTCTGCCACGCCTCCCTTTGCTTGTTACTTACATTTCAACAAAACCATTATACCCTGATTTGAGAAAACTAAACAGCTAGTTTTATTAGAGAGGGGAAATACTTTGCGTTTATACGGACGGAGAGAAAGATTGACAATGAATGCGACTTGAATAATACGCGTATATTTATAGTGTTATAGTTTCTTTTTAATTTATAAACAAGTTCCTAATTAGATGAAAAATAAAACAGACATTAATGAGTTGAAAAATTAGATGTGGTCAACAAGTCAACAAGATAACGCATTGCATAATATTCAAAAATTCCTATTTTATACTAAGGGTCTGAGATTGACACGATCTATTAGACGAACAGATGAATAAATATATTAAGTTAAAAACATAGTACTTTTTATGTTATTATACTTACCTTTAGCGGCAAGATATATAAAAGTTTGAGCATTGTTGCGTACTGTGTTGATGTTTAAGCCAGAAAAAACTTTACATCTTACAGAAAGTTTAATGATAAAAAGCTCCAAAAAATCCAAGGGGGTCACGGATGATAAATCCCAGCCTAGACTGCTCAAGACGTATAGCTCCCACTTCTGACAATGAATGAAATAACACAATTTTAAAATCTTTAATTAGAACGCAAATAAGTGGTTTATTAACCAACAACAAGTAAGAATGCTCTAGTCTACTCGACTGTTGAACCCAGCAAAGAGCTTACATTCAAATCACACATACAAACAGTCATGCATATACATATATATACATACGCATGCATCCACATGGCAGACGTAAGCACGCTAATTGCGTAGTATGCCGAGACTACGTCTGGGCTGCTGTGTGGGCAATACTATAGGAGCTTATTGGTTGAATAAATCCACACCAAAGGTACGTACCTATTTGTCAAAGCACAATTCTATTATACTTGAATGCAATGTGCTTTACAAAATCTGAAAATTACAAAAACATATGTACATATATACACAGTAAATGTGAAGTCTCTAGGTCTAATTGTATTCAAATTACGCTTATAAAACGAAATAAATTTATCGATTGTTGTCGATAAAAAAGAAATCAGACGAGTTATCGAAAGAATATGTTAAACTTGTACTGCGTATGGTAAAAAAATTAATGTGTCTCAATCTTATATCTTCTGAAATCTCGGCGTACATACGAAAAGACTAACGCCTGGGCATGGCTATATCGACTCAGCTCATCACCCTTGTCAAAAACACTTAATAGGGCCTGCCACCGCTCATTCTGCCTGTTGATATAAGAGCTACTGACCTGAAATTTGGCATGCATACTCGTGTATACCATACTCAGTACTTGTACACTAACCAGAGAACACATAGACTAGACATGTGGTGGTCCAATTCTTTTCAACGACAAAATAATGTTTTGAAGAGACCAGACAACTTCGTATTTACTCGGCTCGATCTTTTGAGGCTCAAGCAGTGAAAATAAAGCGCGACAATATCAGTGCGCTGCGACCGGTGCCACGTTGCCACGAAATGCACACGTAGGTCAGTTCTTTCAAAGGCTTGAAACAGAAGCCGGTTTACGTTATATCAGCCAACTCAAAGTGGCACCGAGCGAAAAGATCTTTGAGATCATCTCAATAGAATCTTTTAAATTAATGGGCAATAAAATATTGAAATCCTTAAGAGTAGCGCTACTCAAGCCGGTGACCCAACCATCAAATGATAATAATAAAGAGAAAGAAGCAATACTGTTTACGTATAATGACGATCCAATACAAGGAGGTCATACAGGCATAGCTAGAGAACTAGCAAAAATAAAAAAACATTATTATTGGAAAAATATGTCAAAAGACATATCAAACTATATAAGAAAATGCCAAAAATGTCAAAAGTAAAAAATAACCAAACATACAAAAACTCTATTAACCATTACTGAAACGCCACAACTGGCTTTCGATAGAGTAATCGTCGATACGAACGGTCCCTTACCCAAATCAGAACAAGGAAATGAATACGCAGTAACACTAATCTGCGATTTGAAAAAATACTTGGTAGCAATACCAATTAAAGATAAAAAGGCAAAAACAGTGTCAAAAGCGATATTTGAAGATTTTATTCTGAAGTACGGTCCTATGAAGACGTTCATTACGGACATGGGAACAGAATATAAAAATTCAATAATTGAAGAATTATGTAAAAACCTTAACATCAAAAACATAACTTCTACAGCACATCATCACCAGATAGTAGGTACCGTAGAGCGAAGCCACAGAACACTTAACGAGTTCATACGATCATATATATAAGTTGATAAAACAGATTGGGACGTATGGATACAATACTTCGCATATTGTTTTAATACTATGGCACATGACTATTGTCTATATGAACTAGTATTTGGTAACCATCAAACTTACCAAAACACTTTATTACCGTAGATAATATAAAACCACTTTACAATATAAAAGACTATGCTAAGGAATCTAGATATAGACTAGAACAGGCCTATACACGCGCTAGAAAAATGTTAGAAAAACATAAGGAGAAAAACAAAGAATACTATGATAGGAAATTACTTAATTTTGAA